CAGGGTCACTAAAATAAGATGAGAAAGAACATAATCCCAATTTACGGGAGAAAATTGAAACCCAAACCTGACGCATTTCATTTCCTGCAAAGCTGAGTTGATAACTCAAAATAACTAGAGGTTACTATTTCTCCGTTAGTAGAAAGTGAGACCCTGACTGCTTTGTTTTTTTTTTTTTTTTTTCAATGAGAGGTCAACTGAATTTATTTTTACCTAATATTAGTAATGAGTATTCCTTATCCCTTTGGAATGGTGATACAGGAATGGAGAGAACCTTCATTCTTTAAATTAGTGATCCTAGGACATAGTCAACATAGCGAACTCTCCAGAAGTGTGCGCTCACAGAAGGAAACAGGCATAGCAAAGCCCAGTAGAGAGGCAGCTAGTCAATGTATGGCCATGGACAGAAGGATGAGGGTCAAGCCCAGCTCACACTCACTATCTATTTAGTTATGATACCTAATAAGCTTTAACTTCATCTGGAAATGGAGATACTACTGACACTTACTTTTAAGACTTTTCAGGATGCCACATAAGGTAATACAGACAATATTGCAGATGAGGTCTAGCACATACTAAGTACTCAATAAACGTTAGTTATTAATGTTATTACTATCATTGATATGAATATTTAGCTTTAAATACATTTTACATCTAATATTTAAATATATGTATCGCTTACATTTGGTCAGATTACTTGAATTAAAAATAAAGCCATAACAAGGTACCACAGAGAAATGGTATACTCAAAAAAGCTCAGGGAATGTAAGATCCATGGAAGTGAACTGATTTGTTTAAAGCAGGACTTCTGACAGTTTTGAATATGTGGTGTACATAGTGAATATCCAGAGTTACAGAATTTCCTATGGGCTCTTACTTTTTTAAATCTTAGATTTCCCCCCACCCCCCACCCCATACAGAGTGTCTCAAGGAGTCTGAATCCCACAGAACACACTTTGGGGAAAGTTCCATGGACAAGATGATTGTTCAGGCCCCTGCTGAGTTTAAGAATAATAGTCATAGACACAAAAACTAGCGAGCAATTGTCCAGCCATCACTGATCATCTAAACCCTTGCTACTCAAAGTGTGGTCTGTAGAACAGGGAGTTTGCTAGAAATGAAGACTCTCAGGCCCTAGTCTCAGACCTACTGGAAAAAACAACAACAACAACATTGGTTTTTAATCAGATCTGCTGGTGATTTATACTCATGTTACAGTTTGGGAGGCCCTGGTCTAAAGGAAGTCAGTCTTCTCACTGTGTGGTCGGGAACTTTCTGCCAAGGGTCCCCAGGCTGGTATGTCCCTTCTGAATACATCCAGATCTAGAGACATTGACCCTGTCTGCCTGGGTGGTAGGTCATCTCTTATCCCCGGTGAGCTTTCTCAGAGTGTGGAGGAAGACCACTCTGATACTCAAATCAGGATCCCATGACAGTAGTGCTAGAAGCTGTTGGAAGCATTGCTGAGCTTTGCTCTGTACTAGTGCCGATTTCAAATCTTATTAAGCCAGGAAGTAGTGCCTGGCAAATGGTTTATCCTGCCTTGGCTGTTCATGCATCCCAATTCATTTTTATTGTGCTAATTAAACCTCAAGTGATATTTCAAGTACAGATTGTTTTTTCCATTATTGAATCTTTGGCCAGCATATTAATGCTTTAGAATTAACGTGAGTCAGATGCTTACTCATTTGTGGAAGACTTTACATCTAAAAGATCTAGACTTGGCAAATTTTGCACAGATTCCTTTGGAGACTGCTGTGACAGGGTGATACAATTTCTCTATAAATAAAGGAGACTCATTCTTCCTTCACAAATAGACACATAATTATTTTCTAAATGAACTGAATTCTTAGGTTATAGATATGTATTGGTATTTATGTTCTGTGCTAAAATGGATATGTGCAGTCTGCGAAGAAACTGTAGCGTAGTGGTGAAGATCTTGAACTTTGGGTTTGGATCCCAGGTCAACAGGTACGTGGGCAGTTTTTTTTTTTAAGATTTTTATTTATTTATTCATGAGAGACACACACAGAGAGAGAGAGAGAGGCAGAGACATAGGCAGAGGGATAAGCAGGCTCCATGCAGGGAGCCCAACATGGGACTCGATCCCTGGTCTCCAAGATCATGCCCTGGGCTGAAGGCGGTGCTAAACTGCTGGGCCACCGGGGCTGCCCTACATGGGCAGTTTTGGAAGATGTATTTGACTTCTCAAGAATTCATATTCTTAATTAATTAGATGAGGACAAACACTTCACTCCATGACGATTGTAAGGATTAAATAAAACAATCATTTGAAGTACTAGAAAAGTTTCTGGTTTAGTAAATGCCCAGTAAATACTACTACTATTACTGTAGTTAAACATACGTTTTTAGAATCGTTAATCATATAAATTGAGGCATGCTGAAAAAGGTTTCATTAAGTTTTCTAGGGGAACTGAAGATTACAACATAGCATTCTCTATTGAAAGTCTCCATTTTAACCTTTTTTCCCTGCTCAGAATTTCCAAACTATGATATCCATTTTTAAAAAGTAGGAAATTTAACAAAATAGTTTGTATTCAAGGTGCCAAGAAGGATGTCTCCAAGCTCTGTTGGTGGAGGAGGTCCTACCTGGAGTACAAGCACTGTGACAGGGCCCTGGGTCTGAGATCCCTCCAGCATCAGCAGATAAATCTCTTAAGCACAAGAAAATGGGAGAGGAGTCAGCAGGACACAAAGACTTGTAAGCTGAGAAGCAGGCAGACAGTAGAAACTGAGCTGATGGCTGAGAATGCCCATTACCAGGCTGCCAGCGGGCAGAGGCAAGGGGAAATTGGTTTGGGCCACAGAGCTACTAGCAGGCTCAGAAAGAAGCAGGTATGCAGGCAACACCAAAGCCAGGAGATTGGGTCAGGTCACTGATGGAGCAGTTAATCCCATTTTCATTCCATACATTCCAGGTGACTGCATCGTACCCTTCTCAGCAGAAAGCCAGGGTATATTTTCTAGAGAGGATCAAACAAAGATTATGAGGAACTCCAGAAAGAGTTGAGGCTGTGAGAACCATAGAGAGAATGATGAGCTTACCTACTGAGTATCGTTATTTGCATCCTTCTTCCTTTTCCAGGCAGGACAGTGGAAGAGCAATTATCTGAATAATTTGACCAAACCCTGTCCCAAAGTGGTCTAATGATACCGACACCAGGCAGTACCCAGGAAAAAGGCCAATAATACTGCCCTCCAACAAAGCTGACAGTTAAATGCACACAGTGCTTCTAGTACTTTTTTCTTAAAGATGTGTGTGTGGCCAATGATACCCACTCTGAGAAAAGCTTATAATAAGAAAGACAAATATGAACAAACAAAAAGATGAAGGAAAGCAAGTTGCAAGAAAGTGTTGATATGGAGAAAAGAACAATTCAAAAGAAATGGCCAACATCTCAGATCAGGAGAAGTTGCAGCCAGGAGACAAAAAGCAGGGTGCTATAGAAATAGAAGATCATTCAGGAACAAAAGAAGAGCCTTGGTAGCTAAAAATATGACAGATTGAAAACTTCGGAGTATGAAACTCAGAGTACTAAGGGGCATTTTAAAGATAGAACAAGGCTTTCTACTGGTTGCTGACAGGAAGGGTTCTGAAGTCATGCGGCCGCTGAAAGCTGGGTCTTGCTGGGAAGTCCTCTGCCAACGGTGGGGACACCAGGAGATGTATGCTGCATAGATCTTTGTCCAGGCCGGTTTTGGTAATAAAGAATAATGGCTTTGTCATCAAGGACCGCATCACAGGAGAGGGGTTTATGGACAGTTTTGTGGAGATAGTGAGTAAGAGAGCACTAGGTGGGTGGGTTAATTGCAATTTAATGTGTATTGAAGATGCATTGCTTTTTCTGACCTCTGGGACACTCCTGAGTTAATGACATGTCATAGGTCCTTGGGTCACAGCTGTCAGCGTGAATGCAGCCCCAAGCAGAGTTTCTGATACCAACTGAGGGACATAGCTTGACAAGTAGGGCCTGGCATATTGTTGTGCTGTCTGGGATGTGCCTTCATGCAGAAAATACTGTGAGTCCCATGAGGTTTAAAGCATTGTAAACACCCAATAAGTGTGATAATTTAATGAAATGATAATGGCATCGGTAAAACTAGCTTTTGAAATGTGAAAGTATAGATCCACATGACTTTTTTTAAATCATACTGTAAATTTTACAATAACCCATTTTTCCTATGATATTTAACTCTGACTTATATGGCTTTAGAACATTCTAGTATGGTGATGATCAAACTTCATGTCTAAAGAATGCTTTAAAACTGCATTTTCTTGGGGCACCTGGGTGGCTTAGTCAGTTAAGCAGCCCACTCTTGGTTTAAGCTCAGGTCATGATCTCAGGGTCCTGAGATCAAGCCCTACTTTGGGCTCTGAGCTGAGGGTGGAACCTACCTGAGAATCTGTCTCTTCCTCTCCCTCTGCCCCTCCCCCCTTTAAAACAAAAACAGTAAAGCTCCCCATATTACATTTTCTTCTGTAATCTATTTCAAAATCTAGGTCTGGTAGTGGGGTTATATTTATCAGTTACTTAATGTAAAAAATGGATTTATGCAAAAAATGTAGATGTCTCTCACCCTTTTGTTTTTGACAATAAATAAAGGGGAGGAGGGAATAAACAAGATAAAATGGTGTGCCTATTTATGTGCGAAAAGCTGGGTTAGCAACTGTAGAACAATGAAAGAGTAGAAGACCTAGTTTTATAAACTAGTTTTTTTTAAGTAAAAAGTTATTCTGCAGTAATATTTTTAAGAAATGTACAAAATTTGTTTTCAAATCTTATAACCGCACATTTTTTATTCATGTTAAGTCTGTAAAACTTACCAACCCAACACTTTTTCAGAGCAACATAAATCTGTCTCAGAAAGTAAATGATTACTGATTCTACAGCATGAAGAGTTTTCGATTTGTTGTGATTATTTTGATAATGCACTGAACTATTTGTATATGTCCCCACTTAACTTTTCTTCTTCCATAGGTTTGCCATCAGCAAATTTGGCTGCACCTAACCTCACCGTGGAGGAGGGAAAGTCTATCACATTATCTTGTAGTGTTGCAGGCGATCCAGTTCCGAATTTGTACTGGGATGTCGGTAATCTGGTTTCCAAACATATGGTAAGGCTTTTGTTTGGCTCCGTGTTCCTAGAGAGATGAGAGTATCTCAGAATTTGAGATTGTATTCACCTAGTGATGATCATTTAATATTTTATAGGGCCAGATAGCGAAATCTATGATGAGTGTTTGATGTACACTTACTTTTTATTTATCCTTATAATTAACAAATTTAGTTGTGTATATCCAATAGATCAGAGTCTCTGGGTCTCTAGTGAGCCTTCTTGTGTCCTTGTGAGCAGAGTGAGGGATGCTTCTTTGGTCTCTTCCCTTGGAGAAAGGTAGATAAGAATTCAAGGATTAAATCAACTTTACACATTAAACAGTTATGATCTCGAGAAACAGAATAGCTCCTGATTTATTCTTTTGCCTGGCCCCAATTCAGGCCAGAAACCTTTCTAATGGTATGTATATATATATTTTTTTCTTTCGTTAGGGGGAAAGACCCACATCTCATCACTTTGGGATCAGTCCTAATATAGATTATTTTTGTCTGTTAATTCATTTGTAGAATGAAACAAGCCACACGCAGGGCTCCTTGAGGATAACTAACATTTCATCTGATGACAGTGGAAAACAAATCTCCTGTGTGGCAGAAAATCTTGTAGGAGAAGACCAAGATTCTGTCAACCTCACTGTACATTGTACGTAATCAGACTGGCATATGTTTTTAACAGCAAATGATTGTGGACACACCTGCATTTGTCATCGGGGCACTCTGGGTGCTGCTTAAGTGTGTTAAAAAAAAAAGTGTGTGCAGTGTTTTGTGTGTACTCTTTAAAAGAAATAGCAGCCTCTTTCATGTGTTCTATCTGTTAATCTCTCTTACTCATGCATGTTTTTCTTTCAAGCTGTTTTTTTTTTTAACTTAAGCTTGTCCTCTCGTGGCCTCCTCTTTTTTTTTTTTTTGTTTTGTTTTGTCTTGTTTTGTTTTTTTGAGAGAACATATTTTGAGCTGGTTATCCTCCTCTTGTTAATGAGGTTTAGTTTATATTCTGATAAACAAGTTTCTAAAATCTTTTTCTCTATAAAAGCAATATGAAGATTTAGAGTTATGGCACCTCAAGTATTGGGCTGGCTGTTTACAAACACTCAATTGTGCTATCAATGCAGTAAAACCTCATTGGTTTGACATCAAGTTTCTGTGGGAAGCTTGGTGGAGTCCTAGTTAAATTATTAAAACTCTTATCACTTGCAGAAACTTTTATTATAATCATTTCAAATTTCTGTATACATTGAAACTAAGATGCAGGATGTTAATGCTTCTGAAGTACATGTGCATTATTTGCCAGTATTATAAAATCTTAACATTCCAGGTTGTAGCATTCAGTGTGAACATGTAGTCAGTAAAAGTCACATGTACTTTGCACATTGTTCCAAATTCTGAGCTGGTATGGTTAAATGAATGAGGTTTTACTGTGTCTAGATCAGGATTTGGAGGAGAAAACCACAAGTGGGCACGTGTGTATATGTGAATACACTTTACATACCTGTAGACATGTGTTGGTATAGTGGTTAGTGTTCACACATTCAGCATGCAGTTGTTGGAATGTGTGACTGCAGTCACCAACCATAGTCCTTTGTCACTCACTGTCAATACTACCACTGTGCCCAGGAGGTACTAGATTCATAATTTCTCATCATTTTGACCCACCAGAAGCCTAGTATCAATGTTATCTCCAAACATATGCAATCTGCTTCCAACTTTATGTCCTTAAATCAACACCTCACCAAAAGCTCTTTTGAGCATGGTGGAAGGAATAAGTGGGTCCTGGCCATGGGGGCCTGGACTGGTGGGAGGAAGGTAAGTGTTGTATCCTACCCCACTGGGGTCCTTGTATTTGTAACACAGACCTACAAATCGGGACTCTCATATTAATAATCTTCTCAGTTAATGTCTATGGTGGTTGCCATGGTCTGAGGAATTGACCTTATTTATTAAAATCTAGATAAAGAATAGAGGGAATAAATGAAAGAATTCTAACAACTGAGATAGCTTTGGTAGTGACTCTGATCAAAATGTATTTGTTAGCAGGCTGTGATTTTTCCCCCTTTGTGTGATGAACACATACAATAGGGAAGCAGGGCCAGGAAAGAAGGGCTTCTGGGCTAGGCCCAGACCTAGATTCCTGTTCCAGATCTGTCTTACTCACTAAACCTGACCAAGTCATTTGACCTCACAGGACTTGGGTTTCCTGATCTGAGAAACGATGCTATTAGATCTCTAGAGGTATTTTCCAGTCTTTGATTGTATTGTTAACAAGGTCAGACCACATTAAAATAAACCACTATTAGGGATTTTAAATACTTTCATTCAGGAAAAGTACTCTGTTTAAAGATGCTGCTTGAATGTTTGTTTCCCCAAAGCATAAAGTGCTTGATTTTTAAAGTTAAAGTAATCTCTAGTTTGTTTGTCTAGGTTTGAATAGAACCCCAGACATTTAAAAAGGATCAAAACATTGGCTTCTGAAATCCTAGCAAAAATGGAGTGTCCTGTAATGAAATGTGATGCTTTTTTTAAAAATATTTAGTTATCTGAGTGTGAGCAAGGGAGATGCAGGAGTTGGGATGAGGGTGCAGAGGGAGAGGAAGAGAATCTCAAGCAGACTTCCTGCTGAGTGCACTGGGACTCAATCCAATGTGGGGCTTAGTCTTAGGACCCTGCTATCATGATCTGAACCGAAATCAAGAGTCAGATGCTTAACCGACTGAATCCTCCAGGTGCCCCAAAAGGTGATGCTTTTAAAGAGCATTTACTATTGGCAATTGGTGAAAAGTACCTGTTGATCCTACTTTATAATAATGAATCAGCACTGGTAGGAGCATTCATGGCATTGGTCAATTTGATATGTTTTAGATAAATTACATGAGATCTGGGCTTCCAGCAAGATTTCCAAAGTCATTTTTGTCAGTAGTTCTGTTGCTTGGTGAAGTACATAAAATTAGTGGCCCTCAGCATTTTGGTGATGAATCTACATAATATCAAGGAATATTTATTCAAAACCAAAGCTGACTTCAAATGAACTCTTTCTGCTGTCAGAAATCTCTGCAATCTATTCGGAGTTGGTTCTCACACTGAATAGATTTGAAAAATGACTATGATTCATAGGTCTTAAATATAGGGAAAGGAGTCTCTTTGAAGCTCTCTGTTGAGAGTTCAATCAACCTTGATGATGACTCAAAATATTGATGGATTCCAGAGTTGCTGGTCCTGTATTTTCTGAAACCAAACAGTCATTGAATAAAACCCCTTATTGATGACACAGAAATCTGGAGATGAGGAGAAATCTGAGTTTTCTGATGCTATTAACTCTTTCTTTTTCAATTTAGTTGCTCCAACTATCACATTTCTCGAATCTCCAACCTCAGACCACCACTGGTGCATTCCATTCACTGTGAAAGGCAACCCCAAACCAGCGCTTCAGTGGTTCTATAACGGGGCAATATTGAATGAGTCCAAATACATCTGTACTAAAATCCATGTTACCAATCACACGGAGTACCATGGCTGCCTCCAGCTGGATAATCCCACTCACATGAACAATGGGGACTACAAGTTAGTAGCCAAGAATGAGTATGGGAAGGATGAGAAACAGATTTCTGCTCACTTCATGGGCTGGCCTGGAATTGATGATGGTGAGTATCTGATGCTTTTGCATCTGGGGAGAGGATTGGGTATATAACTCAACTGTTGACAAAATGGTGCCCACAATAAACCACCTCCAAACCCAGGGGCTTAAGACATTATTATTTAAGTCTTGGCTATGGGTCAGCTGGGGCAGTTTTGTTCTGTGTGTCTTTATTCTGGAGTGCAGATGAATAAGTAGTGGCTACATAGGAGACCTCCATCTTAGTAGCCAATGGAGATGGCAAGAGGGCAACTAGAAATAAGCTTGGCTTCTCAGGGCCTGGCTACTGTACTGGCACATGGTCTCTTCAGGCCATATACCACCAGCCAGTGGAAGCCATAAGGCCAAAGCCAAGTCCAGGGGCAGGGACTCATACTCCCTAGGAGGTGATGGGGGGATGAACAGTAGCCTGATGCACACATTATTTTTATTTCAAGTGTTAAATGATGTTGTTTACCCCTAATGGTAAAACCCATGCAAACTGTGCACTGGTGGACAGTATTTGGATGGCGCATCTGTTTCCTAGCTCCTTATCCGTTTGGAATTTAGAGTTATGCCCACTTGCTGTGGATGAGGAGCCAGGGTCCTGGAATGTGTGGCATACCTGGGTGGAGTGGAAGCATTCTTCTATCAGATCCTGAGTTGTCTTTATAGGAGTGGTAATGGTCCCACTTGATCAGTGTTTTGGATTGGGAAAAGGATGGCCGGCATCAAGAGTCAATTTCACGGCCAGCAGGAGAATTCCAGTGTGAGCCCCAGTAGTGGCAGGGACAAGCATGTGCCTTTATCTGCTTCAGATACTGTTGTTTTGTAGGGTATTCTTACTTTCTGGATCTTGATGCCCAGATACCTGATAACATTGTGGAGGTTGAGGCCTGTTTGGGCACTGGGGCCTGGGTGTGAATACAAGTCGCTATAGTGGCCCTCAGTTCATCACAACCGCACAAAGATGGCATGGCAGAGGAAAGGGAAGGAGAAGACTTGGAGGCCTGTGAGGCAGGGGCTACATGGACAGCATGAGCTTGCGGGGCTTGCTGGGCAGCCCCGTGGACACAGATGACGCTTGCGAAGCCACCTTCAGCAAATATGGAGAGTACAGTCATTTCATTACGCAGTAAGCCTCTCCCAATATTACCCTGGTATCTATTAAATAGCTTTTTTAAATGCACAAGCTTCCTGAGCATGTTTAAAACATTTGAATTATGTGAATTTGATTTACAAATAGCCTTTCAGGAGCACATAAAACAAGCTACGTTTGGATGCCTTACCCAGACTACCACTGGCAGTTGTCTATTCCATTAAATCTTCCTCTTGATTGAGAGTTTAGCTGCTTGGCTACATTTGCTATAGTAAATCTCTAGATTACTGTTTCTTTCTTCGCGTTTGGGGGAATACAGCCTTACAGTGAAATCCACAGCCTCTGCCTGGAGACAATCACTTTATGTTTGTTTTTAAATAAATATTTTATTTGTGAATGATTGTGGGTGTTCAGGGAGGCTGCAAAGACACCACAGGGTCCCCAGACACCCCTCACCCAGTTGTTGTTACTATTGTGAATGTCTCGCATTATTGCAGGGTTGCCTTTGTCCAAAGGAAGAAACTGACATTGGTGCATTATTATTAATGAAACTTCAGGCTTTATTTGAATTTTGCCAGCAGCTGCTTTTTGAAACCGTTGGAGGTGAACTTGATTCAGGGTGAGGGTCTGGCACTGGAAAGTTTTAGAAGTTTTCTGTGTGCTTTGATAGATGCTCAGTGCTGCCAGAGTAAAGCCACTACTAGCCTCTGTTTAATACAGAGGTGGATGTATTTTCTTTTGAACATTTCTGTGTGGTGCCAATATTTGGTAGAGCTGTACTCTTCTTATCCATGTGGCCTCATTTTTATCAATCATTTTTGTTTAGTTTTAACTTAGCTAATGATAGGAAAGAATTGATTTCTCGTGTAAGAATAACTTGGAGAGTCTCACATATTCCCTTTAAAGGAAACGATCATCTATCAAAAATAAAAGTCAAGGTTAATTTTACAAACATGTTGTTCTTTCTTCTTGTTCATTTGTTTTTATCAAGTCTTTAAAAAATATATATCTGATTTTAAAAAAGGGTGATTTTTTTTCCTCTTTAAGTATTTACTCAAGGACTGGCTATCAGGGAGTAATAAATGAAAGTGGAAATAAAAGAGACTTGGCCCAGGGTGATAGTGGATATAAATGGCTCTAGTGGGCCATAAACCAGTGTGACCAATTAGAGATTGACCTCACTTGGCTTGTGTGATAGGATCTTTGGTATTTATGAGATTTGTAGCCATAGTATACAGATAATGGCCTTTTAAAGAATTGCTTCCTTACCCTCTTTCTCTCCTTTAATAAAGAAAAATAAACACAAAGCAGATACATGGTCTAAAGTCTACCAGTTTGGGATGACAGGTCAAACATGGGTTTACATTCCTTTGGTATTTCCGTTGGTGTCGCATAGTAATTGGTAAGAAGTTTAGTTCTTACAAATCTTTTTGATAAGATGTTTCAGCTACTTTCTTCCCAGTTGTTTTGATGAGATTTTTTTTTTTTTTCACTGCAAGTTTCCTGACTCATGAGGAAGCAGGAGGCCTCTGATGGGTGAAGTGGGTTGCTTTTCCATATCTGGCCAGGAAAATTAAAATGGCAGCTCTGTCTGCCATCTTCGGGGTGTGCCTTCCTCATTTAGCTCAGAAATGGGATAGTCCCATGGCATGGGAATTCACTGTCTATTTGTAGATAGAAAATGAAGAGTGCTGAAAGAAATTAAACAGAAATAAAAAAAAAAGAAAGAGAAAGTCCCTAATACAAGAGTTGGTGAGCTTTTTGATGAAGAAGATGGACTGATTGAATGTAGTTCTAGTCCTGATGACTTCTCATACCATGTGGTACAGAAAACCTGACCATGGCAGTAGACACCCTGCTGCCTTCTGCTTGGAGAAACGATAGGCCAAAAGACCTGGATCCAGTACCAGCCAGGTCAAGAGGGTGCCAGCCACAGGGTGTGAGATGTGAGGCTGCTGGTAGAGATTCCCCATACAGTGTCTCTCCAGAGTGCCAGGACCTTGCAGACTCTGACACCAGACTCAGCCAGGGTGCTAATGAAGAAGGACAGACCTTGCAATATCAGCAGGATCCCAGACACCAAGCCAGTGTCTTCCCATCTGTTAGTCACTGGCAACCTGGCTAGTGACCAAAAAAGGAAGGGGGACTTTCTCAAACTCCAGACACCAGATTAATCATTTTGGATCCTACATGTAGAACTGAACTCAGCACTGGTCAAGTTTGGGTCACATTTAAAGCACAAAACTCAACTTGTAGCTTCCAAATGAAATCTAGAGAACCATGGCATTTGCCTTTCCAGTATACTGAGGAATGCAGCTTATAACAACCAAACTAATTTTATTTCGTTTCTATTTTCCATTGTCCCTCGAACATTTGTTCATTAGGAATAGTCTCCTCTGGCTCGTGAACACTATTGCCCTGCTCCTTGCCTCCTCATTGGTCATTGAAATCAACTGGGGAGTTTTAATTGTTATTTCATTAATTAGCACACATTTCTAGGACCAACCTCTAACAATTCTGATTCAGTGACTCCCAGATGAGGCTTGGGCTCTGGCATTTTCTATTTTTAAGAACCCTGGTAAAAAAAAAAAAAAAAAAAAATCCCTGGTGACTCCAATGTGCAACCAGAGGTGAGAGTCCCTGGTCTGACCCTGTAAGATTTTTCTGCTCATTGTTGAGTAACAGACAGTCCTTTGGACACTTTAGGTTGCAGACAAAAATCTCAATTGAAAAATAGCATGTCCTATCTGAGTTAGAATTCAAAGCCCTGGACTTAATTTAAGGGCCAATTTGCTCTCCTCTGCTAGTTCAGGCTGGCAGGATGGGGGAGGAGGCTGGAGCTGGCTAAGGAGAGTTCGGGCCATTAGTTGCCCAAGTAGAAGTCAGTGGGCCCAGAGCCAGGGTGGTAGGCAGGCAGATGTCCTTGCTGGTGGCTTTGTCTCTTGGGACCTGGGTGTGCTCATTGCTGATTCACAAACCTTCTTCCTGGCTAGCATTATGGGATCTTGGCAGTTTCTCTTTCTCTGGTCCCCTCTCTTGCAGTTTCATGACAATAAGCAAACGTGTCTCTATTCCAGCTGGTGGAAGCATCTCCTTTCTCAACACCAAGGATGCAGCTTTGTGTTGCTAAGGCCCCTCTCCCCTCCAAGGGGCTGTGGTCAAGGCAGACTTTCTCTCATGCTGCCTCTGTCTAGTCCACCGGGAGTCCTTGTGAGCCTTCATCCCAATACTTTCTGGGCTTACAGGTGGAACTCAAATATCACCTGCATCTTACCACCACAGGTTGCTTTAGCCTTTGCTGGCAGGGGTCAGGCATTTGACCTCAGAGCCTTCTGCCTGAAAGGAACTCAATTTGGGTTCTCAGAGTGCTGCTGTGGAGGCCCCATGGCTACATAGAAACGACTGTGTCAGTCCTGTATGAGCACCTTTGTCATGTCCTCTTTGGGACCTCTGGAAGTCTCAGTGTGAAGCAGAGGTTTCAAAGGACATGGATCCAGATCTCAGCCATTTCCTTTGTGAATTCTGCAGTGTTATCCTTTGCTTAGGCAGACACACATGAGTATAATCACCAACGTACCCTTCCTCACCTCCCTTTGTGTTTGTCCTCTGTGGCCATTAGGGAGGAACTTTCTGTCCAGAAGTATTTTTCTCTCAGCATGGCTATGTCTTCCTCATCTAGAGCCTTGGGTGTGCCCAGAGAAGACCTCAGGACTCTGCCACTTGATTACATGAGAACTTTCTAGACTTGGTGCTCTAAGGAGAAAACTAAGTCACAGTTTGGTTCCTGGAGAGGAGCATTAAATGTAAGCTCCTTTTCTCCCTCACCTCCCCACTCCCCATTCAGGATGGGCTCAGAGGGGACTAAACATTATCCTGCCCTTACCCCTTCCCTTTGTCGCAGTCACTGCCAGAGAATACTTACCCCCTGT